TTGATGTTTACAACATATCTATCAGAACAGTTTCTAGTGATGCTCTTCCATTGTTATATTCCTTAAGCAAACTTCAGGCATTTGCTCTGCTGGTGGGTTATGCAAGTCCACTTCAGAGCCACCTTACCTTCTGCTATCATTTTGTTCTTTGTCACTAAACCTTTCTGTTCTATTTGCCTAGTTAAAATCTTAAGTCTGAAAAAGGTGGGTGGGGGAAAGGATGTCTGTAAAAACTGCTTTTTCTTTCTGTGCCTGGGTTAAATCATGTTTATTTTTTGCCTCTTGTGGAAGCATTAAACATTAAAATAATAAATTATAATATGGTATAGCTTTTGTCTGTGTATACCTCTCAGTAAGATATGTAGCTACTCAGAATTTCTGCATTTAAGCAGAACTAATCCTGTTAGCAGTTACAGAAGACTAAACCAAAATTAAGGACTACCACAGCATGAAAACTGAAAAAAAAAAAATGACAACCAACAATAAAACTGCAGTGGACATAGAGAAGATAATAACCAATATTTAGGAGAAGGAGCTAAAAGCTTATCTGACTGTCGTGGTTTAAGGCTAGCTGGTAATTCAGTACCACGCAGCTGTTTGCTCACTCCCCCCCCTTCCTCCCCCTGCTCCCGGAGGGATGGGGAGGAGAATTGAAAGAATGTAACTCCCACAGGTTGAGATAAGAACAGTTTAGTAACTAAGGTATAACACAAATCACTACTGCTACCACCAATAATAATAATGATAAGGGAAATAACAAGGGAAGAGAATACAACCGCTCACCACCTGCTGACTAATACCCAGCCTGACTTTAGCAGTGATCTAGCCCTTCTGGGTAACTGCCCCCACTTTATATGCTGGCCATGACATGCTGTGGTATGGAATACCTCTTTGGTCAATTTGGGTCAGGTGTCCTGTCTCTGCTTCCTCCCAGCTTCCCCTCCTCCCTGGCAGAGCGTGAGACTCAGAAAGTCCTTGGTCAGAGTAAACATTACTGAGCAGCAGCTAAAAACATCGGTGTTATCAGTGCTGTCCCCAGGCCAAAAGTCAAAACCACAGCACTGCACCAGCTACTAAGAAGGAGAAAAATGACTGCTACTGCTGAACCAGGACACTGACTTAAAGCAATTCAATGTTATAAAAAAACCACCTGTTCTGATTTGTGCCAGTAGAAGACTTGTCAATAAGTCCTGAAGTGAAGCTGTATTATAGGGCTGCCCTGCTGTCTCTTGGTGCCCTTGTTTCCTGCTCATTCCATCTGGGCATCAGGATAAGGCATGTGGCACCTCTTCCTGATCCTGGAGCCTCACCTTGCTATTAACCAGAGTGAAACCAGCTGAATTTGGTAACAGCAGAGCAGTTCTGACAGTCACAGTTGAAACGGTTTAAGCAGTAAACAGGACAGCTTTACCTGACGAAACACAAGAGCCAAGAAGTGATAAATTGAAGGAGTATCAACATGGAGATTATGCTACAGTCAAGATGACTTTTGAGAAAAAAAAGTTTAACACAAGTTATTTTCTTCAGTACATGTAACAACAATTTTAGATGAAGATGAAAATGTGTCTCTTTCTGTACAGAAACCCTTCATTTCTGTACACAAGCAGCACTTATGAAGCATGGAAGTATAGATCCACCTGTAAATAAGAATGTGTATTTCTTACACATACCTCTTAAAGCACTAAATATCAATGTTAAGCAGCACAGAGTAATAGTATATATAATAGTGGAACAGGAGCACTGCTAACTAATTCATTAACCATTAACCATGACTAGCGTGTACCATCTCACATGAAAAATGTTTTTGGGAAGTTCTACTAAAGTGGGTTGGAACATATTAACATGGAAGCATAGACTGTTGTATCAAACCCCTGTTTTGTTCCACATATATACAACCGAATTCCAGAAGGGTAGGTTTCTGACTGATTTAAGCTTAATTCATAAGAATACATTATCTTTTCAAATAGCACTTTGAACCAAAGAAAAGGGCTCATTTAATTCCTGTTGGATGGTATTCAAACCACTGGATAGATACATACTGGACAAAGTTCCATCCAAGTTTTCAAAAGGGTTGGCTTTTTGTTTTAATTTCAGGCCTACAAAACCGATGCCCCCCCCATTAAGTATTTTAACCTTGATTGATAGTTAGGTTATTGAGGTAAGCAATCACATGCTAATTGACATTGTGACAGCTCAGATACTAAAGTAGAATGTGTCACAGATCCCTCAGACATTACGTTCCTTGGAACATGACTAGTTCACAGCAAAACCCATTACCTACACTGCAGTTACGGGAAAGAAAAAAACAACACTGTCCCACTCAGGTTAATTTCAGCTATGCATAGCAACAGGAAAAGTGTTCCATCTTTACAGTATGTTGCCTATGATAAATTCCAGAACATTAAAACCAAGCATTTGAAGACATGACAATTAAAAAACCCCCAGTTTTGAGATTACCAATTTTTAAGACACACTTCTAAGAAAGCAGAATTCTATTCACCCAGACAGGTGAGGATAAAACATTATGGTAAGTTATCTTCAGGAATGGTTTAACAACAGAAAGAAAATAACTAATTACTGTAATTAATGATACTAGAGCACATGTATTTAGTGGATACAAAACTAAAGAATTATGTGTATTCAGTATTAAGGCCGGATAGGTTAACAACTCCTATTTACACCCAGCATCTTCAAGGCTATCCAAGGTTACCATTCCACGATTCAGCAGGACACAAAGCACAGAGAACCATGGCCAGGATGTTTCTTCTAAAAGTAATGCACTTGGCATGTACAGCTATGGGGGGGCTGGGGAGAAGAGGAGAGGATTTAACAGCTCAGTTCAAACCTATAGCAGAGAGATTTCACTGGCTACCTTGTGTTTCCAAAACTGGAATTAGTATGGATTAGAAAACCTTTATAATTACAGACAAGAATTCTCTTCAAAGGAAAGATATGTGAGTCAGATAGGCCATTTCCTCACTAAAAAAAGAAACATGCACATTACGTTAGTAAGGTGTCTAAACTTGAAACCTTGTAAATACCAACACTTGTCAGTTCCTCAAGTGCACCCACCTCCCAGCGTGACTGTCAACTGGTAAGGTTTCCAATTTTAATTTCCTAATCTGTTATAATGAATTCCTTTCCCATTTTTCACTTGGCTTCAAAAGATCCAAGCAGATAAACCAAGTAACTAGACAGAGGAAACAGTTATATTATATACTGCAGTTATTATTTAAAAACAGGTAAAATCTGAGAAGACAGAATCATAGAATGGTTAGGGTTGGAAAGGACCTTTAGATCATCCAGTTCCAACCCCCTGCCATGGGCAGGGACACAACACAAAACCGCAACCCATTCCAGTGCCTCACCACCCTAACAGGAAAGAATTTCCTCCTTATATCCAGTCTAAACTTCTCCTGTTTAAGTTTTAACCCATTACCCCTTGTCCTGTCACTATAGTCCCTGATGACGAGTCCCTCCCCAGCATCCCTATAGGCCCCCTTCAGATACTGGAAGGCTGCTATGAGGTCTCCACGCAGCCTTCTCTTCTCCAGGATGAACAGCCCCAACTTTCTCAGCCTGTCTTCATACGGGAGCTGCTCCAGTCCCCTGATGATCCTCGTGGCCCTTCTCTGGACTTGTTCCAACAGTTCCATGTCCTTTTTATGTTGAGGACACCAGAACTGCACACAATACTCCAAGTGAGGTCTCACAAGAGCAGAGTAGAGGGGCAGGATCACCTCCTTTGACCTGCTGGTCACACTCCTTTTGATGCAGCCCAGGATACGGTTGGCTTTCTGGGCTGCAAGCGCACATTGAAGCCGGCTCATGTTCATTTTCTCATCAACCAGCACCCCCAAGTCCTTCTTCGCAGGGCTGCTCTGAATCTCTTCTTTGCCCAACCTGCAGCTGTGCCTGGGATTGCTCCAACCCAGGTGCAGGACCTTGCACTTGTCATGGTTAAACTTCATGAGGTTGGCATCAGCCCACCTCACAAGCGTGTCAAGGTCCCTCTGGATGGCATTCCTTCCCTCCAGCCTGTCATCCGAGCCACACAGCTTGGTGTCATCGGCAAACTTGCTGAGAGCGCACTCAATCCCACTGTCCATGTCAGCTACAAAGGTGTTGAACAAGATCGGTCCCAACACCAATCTCTGAGGGACACCACTCGTTACTGGTCTCCAGCTGGACATTGAGCCATTGACCACAACTCTTTGTGTGCAGCCATCCAGCCAGTTCTTTATCCACTGAGTGGTCCATCCATCAAATTGATGTCTCTCCAATTTAGAGACAAGGATGTCATGGGGGACAGTGTCGAACGCTTTGCACAAGTCCAGGTAGATGACATCAACTACTCTACCCCTGTCCATCAGTTCTGTAGCCCCATCACAGAAAGCCACCAAATTGGTCAGGCAGGATTTCCCCTTAGTGAAGCCATGCTGGCTGTCACCAAGCACCTTGTTGATTTTCATGTGCCTTAGCATGCCTTCCAGGAGAATCTGCTCCAAGATTTTGCCAGGCACAGAGGTGAGACTGACTGGTCTGTAATTCCCCGGGTCAGAATATTCCAAACCTTAGCATTCTTAACGTTTAAAATACCCTCAGAAACATGAGGAAATAACTTAGGAAAAAAGTGAATCCAACTTCTCTGAGAAAATATAAATAAATCCTTTTTCTAAAGAAACCCACTCCTCAATACTGTCCTTTACAGTAGAGCTGTTTGGTTAACTTTTCCCATCTCTGCACAATGTTCCAATTTGTTCTGACAAAAAAAAAAAAATAGGAGAATCAGAGTGGGTCTTTTCAGCAGACCTGCATTTAAGCTACTTTGCTGGTACCACACTGCAAAGTTTAAGAGGCATCTGACCCACCTGTATGGCATCCTTTTAACCACACCACCTGTACAATAGAATTGTATTTAGATTAATATTCACTCTTCAGATTTTTGTGGTATTAAAGGCAAGAGATTCCTTAAGCTTGAAAGAACATTTCTTCCAAAGTAACTTGCACCATTCATACACAAAGTTTAATATACTGGAATGTTCCTAGCTATTAATACAATCTAAAATGTTTACAATTTCACATTACAATGGTAAGAAATCATCACTTAACACAAGAAAGTTTAGTTTGTTCTAATGCCCCCACTAACAGCTATTCATAGTAATTAACATTTCAAGGACTATTTTCTGGAGCCCATTGCCATGTCTGGGCCAGTATCATTCCTTTACCATTTCCAAAACCGTTTGCTAAATGTAGCACTTCAGACTAGGCAACAGCAACCAGTACCAAATTACTAGTTTTTCAGTGTTAACAGACCTACTATCCCATGTTACATACAGTACATATATTTTACAAGGCACACATTACAGTACCTGTATCACAGTAGTGTGAATTACAGCAACTTAATTAAAAAAAAGCTGTACAGAATACAAAGTTTACTTTTTCACTATTTAAATAATTTTTGCACTAGAGTATATTGTAATTGCAAGGTTACCATGCTGCAATTAACAATCTGTTTGCATCATTACAAAATTACATTTTAAAAAGTTCATGTCAGTTCTCAGCAGAAAGTCAACTTATAAAATCTCAGTTCAGAAGTATAATTCTTGAATTACTTGAAAAATAAAGTTAGCTTGAAGCTTTAATTTAGATGTTCTTTCCGTTCCAGTGATATAAAAAGTTTAAAAAATTCAAAGGTTCAAGTTCTGAACATGGACTAATGCAAGCTCAAAAAGCAAACAGAAATCAAACTAGTATGTGATTAGGAATACTTGCAAATATTTTAGTGGAAAATCCCTGACCATTAACAATTTTTAGTTGTTGCCTATACGCAACCAACCAGTCCACATATTTTCTTAAGAACACCTCATAATACCAAAGGATTAACAAAGGGAAAAAAATTAGTTCTAAGCTATATACATCCATAAACAGATTTTTTTCAATAATACAGATTTACACACTAAGCCATATTGGCTTTAGATGATACATACAAGAGTCTGTTGCTTATCTGTCTTAATGTCTATGATCGATTTGACAACTGTGCCATAAGCCAAGCTCAAATGGGTACCATATGCTACACACATTTCCTTAACAAAAAGACGTATAATAGACAAATTACCAAGATCTTGCCCCCAATGTTAATTAAATTATTTTGTAGCCAACTATGAAAACACAACCCAAATGTGCATATCCACATGTGCACATGCCTTTTAGTTCAGAACTTGTCTGTGACAAAAGGCCCCAGCCTTATGGCATCATCAAATTTTAACAAGTGTGGTAATTAAAAATGCAGTCTTACAGTAAGCAAAATTTATGCTGATATTCCCTCAAATGCTAAACTTGGGTATTTCTCACTCAATAGCCTCAAGAGAGTAGTATTTGTTAATATATGCATACATAATAATAATTAAAAAAAATTAGTTCTCTACAATAGCAGTTGATTTTCATAGCACTATTTATGCCAATAAGGCTGCAGATGGGTTTCCTGAATACTAACAATTTATTTTAGACTGTCTAAACTTAGCACTTTAAAGATTTTGTTCTGCTAGACAGAAATACTGTTGCACTCCAGTTGTGGTATCCCTTTTCCCAAACTGTCACACGCACATCTCACTGCAAGCAACATAAGAAGTTTCTCTGCTACATAAAAGCATATTGCACTTACAAATATAAAGCACAGCACCCTTACTTAGATCACCTTATAACTGATTTCATCACTTCAAAAACTCAAAAAGAAGCAGATAAAACCAAAGCATCCGACTAAACTACACCTTAACCGCTAATTCAAATGATGGCATTCTTTATAGATATGCCTAATGTTTAAAACTAATTTGGGCTGTTCTTTATCAAAAACTATACAGAAACCGATTTACTTTTTCCAGGATTGTGTATGAAACTGTTTAGTGTTTCCAAGCTAATAATATTATGCTAAATATAATTTAAAAAAAAATATTCTAGGAGATAATCTTGTCAAAAGAATAAACAGAAATGCACAAGTACATTTACGGAGCTGCCTACACTCTTCAGAGCAGATTTAAAATACTACTACAAATCCTAACATATTAGATTGAAATCAGTATTTGTAAACTCTAAAAGCAGCAACAACTGGCTACTGAAGAACAGGCAGTGGGACATCTTCAAGTTTCAGAAGTAAAATTTCAAATTAATAATCACTAGTGCTAACTCATCATCTTTACTGACGTTTTTCATGAAACTAAAAGTGAGTGCTTTAGTGCTTTTAAGGATAAGAACTGTGAGGTCAAGCCACCTGACATGGTTCATCTTCTGTGATGTTGAAACAGCAGTTAGCAACTGTGGTTGTGCTGTTATAAACTGCTTCATCTAGTAGTCAAACTGTTAATATCAAAAGTTGTTGTTAAAAGAAGCTCTGTTAATGACCAAAGAATTTACTGAAAGTACAGATTAATAATTAAGACTGCCCAAACATACACTGGCTCATATACCCTGTGCTTTAAAAGAACAGCATAGATGCAACAGCAGCCAAGAAGTGAAGCAGAAGACAGACTCTGGAAGAACAGCAATGAGAGGCGAAAACAGGTATTTGTGAAAATGAAAGCTTCAAGTACTTCAAGTACTATTATCAGCTCGTGGCCAGTGTCAGGGTCTGTGAGGCTGGCCAACCTCATCTACCATGTTAAGTATGTAAGTAGCGATATCATCTTCAGTAGGCGCATCTGAAACCACCCAAGAATCACTTGCTCCAGTCACCTGCCGACGGCAAACAGGACAGCTTCTGTGACGATCACTCCTGTTAGAAAGCCAGAGAAATGAGTATTTTTCATTGATGGTCTCTTCCTGGCCCCCAAAAGAGCCCCCAGACAAAACAACACAACCCAATGAAAACTTCAAGAATGATCAGGTTAGCTGGACTAGACCACCTATTTTTTTTTTTTTTTTCTTGAAAACTGTTTTTTTTGTGAGAAAGTTTGGCCAACAATTCTGAATGTAGCTCCATTCTTTGAGCGATAAATTTGGAGCCATATTCCTCATGAATGCATCTACCTACCTGTCCAGAAACTTTAAATGGAAATCTAAGTTAATCTAAGTTAATTCTTCTAATCCTTAGATATTCAGCTGAGGTCCTTCAGAAACTAGTCCCCATAAGCTTCCTATATAATGAGAAAAAGGAGCCCATTTCCTGGGTCATTCAGACCACTGAGGTTTAGAGTTGGTCCTTAGGGTGCCATCCTTCTTCAGTGGAGGAGGGTCCCAAATAATTATGTTTCTGAGCTGGGAGTCTGTTGTCTGCCTAGGTTAAGAAGAGATGAGCCTTAAAAATTGAGTGCTGAGAAAAGAATGGTGTAACCGCAGCTTAGTTAAGATTCGTTAGCTGATTCATTAGCCAAAGTAGAATAATCCACTGTCTACCACGGTTGCTAACCTAAGCCCTGTATTGCTGATAGATGTTAAAATACTTTCCCTGAAAAGAGAGATGACAAGTTATACTGTGAGATCCAGCAATTTTTACTACCTTTTTCCTTTGTGGGAGCATGGTGTTTTAAGAGTAACTTCTTTGAAAAGCCTTTGTAAAGGCCACAGAACAAATTTTTATGCACAAATTATGTGACTTAAATGTAAAATCATAATCATTAACTCATCAAAAAAAGCCTTCAACTGAAAATATCTGTTTCACCTAATGCTAGACTGCTGGAACACCTGCTTAATCAATCCTTGCAGGTCTTCTGCACAGTCAGAGAACATCTGTGCTCTTCCATAAAGCAATTCTCTTCTGAGTTTTCCAACAACCTATGCACCAGACAGATACAGAAGCTGAAAAGCTGTTCTGTTTACTATGAAGCTGAACACGATATTGTAAGGTACATGTTATACATAAATTTGAAGGCATTGCTATTGAGAAGAAATCTTTTCTTGGAAAATGTATTTAAATGAGTAAATTGTATGTGATTGATTTGAAAAGAAAGCATAATATATGGGAAAAAAATCCCTCTAATAGTTATTTCCTAAATAACAACTTGCCTTCGTATTTGCACACTCTTACAAACTACTGATTTTTGCCTTAAAAAACAGCTTTTAATGAGATTTTGTGAAGCATAACATGCTGGCATCAACATATACTCTGTTTTCTCTAGTTTGCAAGCATGGATATGATTTAATTTTATAAGAACAGAGGTAAGAAATTACATAACAAATGCTGAAAAGCACTTTTACATTTCTTTTTCCAAAAGGAAATCCTTCATGAGGTGTTCACAAATTCTGAAATCCTTTTTTCCTTCTGCTGCGGTCTGATTTTACTCAAACTTGTTATGTATCATACGTATCATTATCCTGTTAGTATCTTCAGACATTAAATTGGAAACATGTCAGATAACCAGTACCCACTATAAAATAATGAATATACTTTAATATGTATTACCATTTATCGATGCATTTCTGGCAGAAGCTGTGAGCACATGGCAAGATTAAATCAGCACGCCCATCCATGCAGATGCAACATTCCTCTTCATCTGTCAACTGTTTTACCCTGCAGAAGAGAAGACAGGTTTTTTTTCCACATAACCAGTAGGTCTTATATCTATGCCCTAGTGACTACAGTAGTTACTACATTTTTCATAATAATTCATGGACAGAAAGGAACACCATTGCTTGTCTTCAAGGAACATGTAATTTTGTGAATGGACTAGTTACATCATCCCAGTTTGTCAGACATAGCCTCAAGCTACCAACAAACAGTAAATGAACTAAACAAATTAGAATATGCATTTATTTTTGGTCTCGTGGTGCTTTCGGTGTTGCAATGGGTTATGCAAATCCTTTTTTCGTATCAACAAAGAAGTGTGAGAAGTGATGGTTAAACATCACCTGACCAGGCAAAAGAACAGAAACACTGTTTATGTTGAAAGCAGATCTGACTTCCTTCCACAGAGTGTCAGGCTGAACTATTTCATGATGAAGTCTGTCAAATTTCTGTGTGCTGGCTTATATCTTAGATAAAAGCACACATCGAGACGATCACTAGAACTCATGTTCACTCATTTCACATGCCATCAGCTAAACTGCTCATTAGACTAAAAAGGATGGTTTTAGGTTGTAATACACTCCTCATAGTTGTTCCTTCAAACTAAAACTCTCAAGTTGACTGTTGCCACAGCATTTCCAGATAAGCTTTTAGGTGTTGTTAGGGAAGGGGAAAAAGAAGTTTAAAAACAAGATCACTCCTGAGGACAGACATTTTCGTTTTATCTGTCTTCATTTTTTTTCCCAAATAACAGATATCTGTCTCTAAAGTTACTAGCAGTAGTATCTCACATATTTGTATTATCAAGATTCCCAAGACTGAAAATGTGCAGAAAATCCTCAGCTTTCACTGACCTAACTAGACATGTAAAGTTCTCTAATTTTATAGTCATGGCTCACTTCCAATTCAGCCAAGAGGTGTTCTGAAATTTTCAGGTCTTACAAAATCCCCAATTCTGGAATCCCTTCTGTGACTTGGGGCACAAAGGTAGCAGTCTAGAAAGAATGGCAGAGACAGTCCACCTTAATTACTATTGACCAGACTGCTTTTGCTTAGGAATCTTGGGAGCCTGTCAAATACAGAGGAATTTTTTAACTGTACAGACCACCCAGCCAACGGACAGCAATTAACATGCTTTTGTTTTATTCTTCAGTAGGTCCTTGGGTTTCCTTGTCAACTTGCTTTTTGAGAAATTTGTTTAGAATGCTAGGAGATTTATTTTTTTTTGTACAATTACAGATGGCGATTTGCATACAGTGAGGACAACAGTTTCAAATATCCTTTTGATTAGCTCACTATGTTCTTTGGAGTTGTTCCCTTTCATTTCCTTTCCCCATCAAACTCTGACTACTAACCTTTGATAACAGTTCAATTTGAGACTTGCTGGTATATATACAAGCAATTATACTTAAAACAAATGTCCTATTTATAGTTTCTGGAAACTAAGATTTAGCCATATGACTAAATTTCTTAAAAAGTGGTAAAATACAAGAGTGACAAACTAAGGAAATGCTTGTCTCTTCGTTACCAGAAAGCATAAAACACTTACGGATATTTCTGAATGCTCCAAATAGGAAGTGGGTGTTCTAGAGAACTAGGGTATTATTCCAGTGGAAGAAGTCAAGATAAGAAGAAGAATGAAACAGATAATAATTGCTATTTTTGGACAGTGGTGGCTAGCTCTCACAGAGCTGAAAAATGTCTCAAGATGAGAAAAATTTAGGCAAATGGGAGGACATCACAGAAAACCTAACAGAACATATTTCCTCAGTATAAAATACTTGAAGGTGCCTCAGCCTGTATTTTGTTTAATGACTTGAAACACTTGGGTAAGTTTTATACTTACAAGTTACTTTAACAAGCTCACTAAATTCCAGCATATTACCAGCATACTAGAACATTATACTCAATTTCTCTTGTTGTTAATCGTCATTAATACTATCTCAAGTGATGAAGTTTACAAACACAAAGGGTGCTCATCTCCCCCATCTTGAAGTCTCAAATTGAAAGAGAAACTCACCTAAGAAATCTATCTATTCGCTGACTTTAGCAATAGATAAAGCTGTTTTGCATAAGCATCTGTGGGTTTTTTGTTTGAAGTAAAAGGCCATTTCCAGATATACATGTGTTCTAGGATAACCACGTATCTTTGAGAAAGAGCAGGAAAATACACTTTCCAAACATGTTCACAATTTGCTACCTAATTCTAGCATTTTAATAACTCAGAACAGCCAATACTTTATTTGTTCCCAAACAAGAAAATCAGGAAATTAAATGAAAAGAACACATTCTGCAATCCACTGACAGAAAAAAGTGGGCTCTATCTGTAGAATGGCAACACAGCCAACCCCTTTCTAACAGGTGGAGTGTGACAGTTAACTAGCTCAGCAACTTGTTCTGTTAAAATACGTGGCTACCAGCTCTTCACTGGTTGATATAGAGAACTATACCATTCACTACTGTTTCTTGTGAAACCTCTATCTCACTTAAAACTGAGGGAGAACTTTGAACTAATTCAGAAAGTTAAAAGTAAGGAATTACTAGTAGCAACATTTCCACATAGGGAAAGGGTGACAAGCTTATTGCTGTTCCATTCAGTTTGAACTGAAGTTCTTGCAGGTGTTGACCTCAATCTTTTGCTTTTCCTCTAGTTAACAAAGCAGGATGTCAACATGTGTGAGACAGTTCACATTTTTCCAGTCTTACAAGTTAAATTATTACTATAACTGATGAGTGTCTAGTGGCAACATATGGGAACTTTCACATGCCAAAACGTAAAAGAGGAAGAGAAAGTTGAAGTGGAACAATAACAAAATCTGTTTAAACAAACACTGTCAAACCCCCTAAATTTGTAGCTGCAGCTGATTCCATTTCCTCCTGTTTCCTTATTCAGGAGGTTCAACATGTATCATATTAGAATTAATCATTAAAATGATTGCTCTGAAGCTAAGGAATGGTAGCACCAACAGCATTTCACTCGAGTACACCACAGCTCTCCTGGTACAAGAGAAGGCACACTATTCATGTCTGTGATGATATAAAGCCTGCATCTGCTAAGAGTATGTGGTTTTGATCATTAGGTGTTAGTAGCTCAAGTTTTACACAAAAATCCTAAACTATTTCTGTTGTAACCATGGTCAGAAGCTAGAGTATATCAAAATACCTTCCCATCCACAAGCTGGCCTGACAAGATGACACAGACATCAAACTCTCAGCAGCTTCTTCAGAAGTACCACTCTGTGCAAGAACTCCTGCTGCTTGACTGGTGATATCTTTATAAAGTTGAATGAACTGATACAAGTTCAGGATTCTGGAAGCTTCCACAACGCCACTTGTTTTATTTATCTTAAGATATAAGAATTGTTTAAAATTATATATCAGATTTTTACATGACATTGCTCAAAATTCTTTTAATGCACTGCAATTCTCATGGCAGTAGCCATCTTCTGAAGTGTCCATTACTAAATTAGCAAATTGCAGTCTATCTCAATAAAGTTAAGACCTGAAAACACAGTTGTTTTTTAACAAGGAATACTACAGTTAGGACTACACTTTTAAGGCAAGACAATTACCATAACTACTCAAATGAATTAAATTATGAGTAGGGACCTAATGCCTAAAAAAATGGACTAAACTTAAGACAAAGGACAGAATAACGAGTCATTTCATATGCAAACAGAAAATTACAAACTGTCAGTTTCAAACCAAGTTTGAGAGTCGACCGCGGCCGACCCCCCCGTCGCGGCCTCTGGCCCCGCTCCCGCCACCGCTTGGTCCCCGCTCCTCAACCGCCCCGGCCTCCTCCTGGGGCTCTGCCAGGGAGGAGGGGAACCCAGAAGGGGGGGAGTGAGTGAACAAGCCCTCTGCCTGGTTTTAAACCACGACGGTTCGCTTGCTTCAAACTTGCATGTTAAGGTTGCTGAGGACCATTTAAGGATGTTACTTGGTAAGATATAGAGGGGAATAATCTCCCCACTAGAAAGAGCACACTTAGTCTGAAGACCCTGACAAAACTTACTCAGTTAGTTAAACACTTAATTTTTAGATTGGTTTTCTAAGCAATAAGAATACACATAGTTACACTAGCTCAACTAATAATGCTTGGAATTGCTGATTAACTTCTATCAAACTATACAGTTCCCACTTCATTGTACTATTTCACTACCAGGACATGACCTCAAGAGTAATCTGAATTCCTAACTAACGGGTCATAAGTGCTGCATTGGAAGATACTCCTTTAAACTTAGTTATGAAAATGTTTCTGTTAACCTGCTTTTTGCAGAAACTTAAGACTTCAGACTTAATTTACCTCAAACAGTATCTTGAATCATCTGCATATACTCAATTTACAGATACATAGAATCATATATATATATATACTCAATTTACATAATATCTAATATTCAAAATGTATGTAGCAGGTGTTAGATTTTATCAGTAAAGGTGACAAACCTCAAATATTTGTACGAACCCCCCTCACCAAATTAAAATTTTCAACAAACTTACTTTAGTGCATATTATCCGAACGACTACCTTCCAGAAAGCAGATGAATCAGAACCAGGTTGCACTTCAAATAACAGATGTTTGTCTTGTCCAGAAGCCAATTTTGCAGTACTGAAATAAAGAATCATCCAGTTTATACCACATGCTAGACATGCAAAGATCAGCAGCCTTAGCTACTGTGGTATTATTTATTGTTCACCTGCGTCTTATCATTAAAGAGACATTTATCAATATTTCCCAGAGACATGAAATTAATGACCTTCTTAGCATGTCATTAAATATAAAATATGGTCCATTTCACTTTAAATTGCACAGTAAATTTCAGAAAATGATGAGCAAGTCTTTTGATCCAGCATCAGCAAATATCCTTTATAGATATTTTATATGCTTTCACTGTTTATTATAGTAATCATACAATCTTGTGGTCCAATCTAAAAAGGTTATTTCCTTACCATGTATGTAAAAAAAAGCTTGCAAGTATCAACAGATGCAGATGAGGTGTATTTTGTTAGTATATATTAACAATGAAGCAGTCAGGTGAAACCTTTGGGTGACCCTGAAATTTTCGGGGGTTGTATTTTTTTCTTAATGGAACACAGACACAGAAGTCTATTCCATAAGACGGAGTTCAAACTATGTTACATTCAGGCTGAAGTAAGCACTGGAAGAAATAAAACCCCTTGACTAACAATGGTATTTTGGAGTTAATCATACTGATATATTCTTAGATTCTCAGGCAAAACATAGAGTAATGTCCTTCAAAATCTATTGATGAAGACACCTGTCTGTTCTTGAAGGTCATTCATAAAAGTATGACTGTCTACAAGACAATTTCTAAACTAAATACAAATTCACATTATAGTTAAATGTCAAACATGACTAAAACCCCCACACTACAAAGCTCTTTATCAGCATGCATATTTCCACTTCCTATAATTTTATACTAAAAGTACTGGGCAAAAATGACAACTCTGCATTTTTGTTCTTTTTACCATCAATGTGGAGTCAAACAAAATTCACACTGAAAAATATTTCTTATGCAGCCTTTTGTTGTGGAAGACAACTTCCTTACGCAAGTAATAGAGGAGCCAACGAGGAGAGGTGCCATGCTTGACCTCGTGCTCACCAACAGGGAAGGGCTCGTTGGAAATGTGACTCTCCAGGGCAGCCTTGGATGCAGCGATCACGAGATGGTCGAGTTTGAGATCCTCAGGACAGTGAGAAGAGCGTGCAGCAAGCTCACTGCCCTGGGCTTCAAGAGAGCAGACTTTGGTCTCTTCAGGAACCTCCTTAGCAAGGTTCCATGGGATACAGCCCTAGAGGGCAGGGGGGCCCAAGACTCTTGGTTGATATTCAAGGATCGCCTGCTACAAGCTCAGGAGTGTTGCATCCCAACCAGAAGGAAGTGCAGCAGGAGGGCCAGGAGACCTCCTTGGATGGATAAGGAGCTCCTGAGGAAATTCAATTGAAAAAAGGGGCTTATAAAAAGTGGAAGCAAGGACAGGCTGTCTGGGAAGCTAGGGACCAGGTTAGGAAAGCTAAGGCCCAGTTAGAATTAAACTTGGCTGGGGATATTAAGGATAACAGGAAGGGATTCTACAGGCACATAGCAAATATAAAACAGACTAGGGAGAATGTAGGCCCCCTCAGGAAGCTCTCGGGAGAACTGGCTACACAGGATTTGGAGAAAGGTGAGGTTCTGAATGACTTCTTTGCCTCGGTCTTCACTGGCAAAGGCTATGACCACACCACCCAAGTCTTGGAAGCCAGATGCAGGGACTGTGAGAATGAAGAGGATCTGGCTCGAGACCATATTAAGAACCTGAACGTGCACAAGTCCATGGGTCCTGATGAAATCCATCCGCTGGTCCTGAAGGAGCTGGCGAATGAAGTTGCTAAGCCACTGTCCATCGTATTTGAGAAATCATGGCAGTCAGGTGAAGTTCCCGACGACTGAAAAAGGGAAATACAACCCCCCTTTTCAAGAAGGGGAAAATGGATGACCCGGGGAATTACAGACCAGTCAGTCTCACTTCTGTGCCTGGCAAAATCTTGGAGCAGATTCTCCTGGAAGGCATGCTAAGGCACATGAAAATCAACAAGGTGCTTGGTGACAGCCAGCATGGCTTCACTAAGGGGAAATCCTGCCTGACCAATTTGGTGGCCTTCTATGACGGGGCTACAGAGCTGAGGGACAGGGGTAGAGCAGTTGATGTCATCTGCCTGGACTTGTGCAAAGCATTTGGCACTGTCCCACACGACATCCTTGTCTCTAAATTGGAGAGACATCAATTTGATAGATGGACCACTCAGTGGATAAAGAACTGGCTGGATGGCTGCACACAAAGAGTTGTGGTCAATGGCTCAATGTCCAGCTGGAGACCAGTAATGAGTGGTGTCCCTCAGGGATCGGTGTTGGGACCGGTCTTGTTCAACATCTCTGTCGCTGACATGGACAGTGGGATTGAGTGTGCCCTCAGCAAGTCTGATGATGACACCAAACTGTGTGGTTCGGTTGATACACTGGAGGGAAGGAATGCCATCCAGAGGGACCTTGACACGCTTGTGAGGTGGGCTGATGCCAACCTTATGAAGTTTAACCATGACAAGTGCAAGGTCCTACACCTGGGTTGGAGCAATCACAGGCACAGCTACAGGCTGGGCAAAGAAGAGATTCAGAGCAGCTCTGTGGAGAAAGACTTGGGGGTGTTGGCTGGTGAGAAAATGAACATGAGCTGGCTTCAGTGTGCTCTTGCAGCCCAGACAGCTAACCATATCCTGGGCTGCATCAAAAGGAGTGTGACCAGCAGGTCGAAGGAGGTGATCCTGCCCCTCTACTCTGCTGAGACCTCACCTGGAGTACTGTGTGCAGTTCTGGTGTCCTCAACATAAAAAGGACATGGAACTGTTGGAACAAGTCCAGAGGAGGGCCACGAGGATGATCAGGGGACTGGAGCACCTCCCGTATGAAGACAGGCTGAGAAAGTTGGGGCTGTTCACCCTGGAGAAGGCTGCATGGAGACCTCACAGCAGCCTTCCAGTATCTGAAGGGGGCCTATAGGGATGCTGGGGAGGGACTCTTCATTAGGGACTGTAGTGATAGGACAAGGGGTAACAGGTTAAAACATAAACAGGGGAAGTTTAGACTGGATATAAGGGAGGAAATTCTTTCCTGTTAGGGTGGTGAGGCACTGGAATAGTTTGCCCAGGGAGGCTGTGAATGCTCCGTCCCTGGCAGTGTTCAAGACCAGGTTGGACAAAGCCTTGGGTGATATGATTTAGTGTGAGGTGTCCCTGCCTATGGCATTGGGGGTTGGAACTTGATGATCTTAAGGTCCTTTCCAACCTTAATCATTCTGTGATTCTATGATCCTATGTTCTTGGTTACTGGATTCAAATAGTAAGCCGTGCCACATCTTTAACGAGGAACAGCACTGCCTGTCCACAGAGGTAAAAAAGATGGTCACAAATTGTTCTGTCTCAGGTTTACCTTCCTAGTGTAGCTGTACTGTCTTTATAAGGCTCATATTGCTACTTCCTATGAAAAGTGATGGGCAGAGAGGAAGCAGCATTCCATCTTTACATGGCTGGTGGAGGGGGAAGATTAAGGGAGACAAGTAACACTAACAAAAAGATACTGCTAAATGTCTACCTCTTGCTAAGAGAGAAGCAACACTTGCTGGAAGAAGAGTATTGGAGAAAAAGTAAATTTCTGGAGGAAAAATGGCTTTCATTTTGAAGTCTATTTACAACCAGTACAGAAACTTTAAAAGCTGCAGGAGGCATTTCAAAACAAGATAGCCAGTCCTGACTTGGCCAGCACAGAGGGATATATTGCATACAGGGTCTCTGTAAAACGCTAAAAACACCAAGAAAACAAAGTAGGGCTTACACATCATTAAGTTCAGCTACTCTTCCCAGAAACTCTTCATAGGTTAGGAAACCACTTTCTTGAACCAAAGAGGCATGCTTTGCTACTTTTTCTGGCAACTTGTTAATTACAGTTTGTGTGTGGTTTGAAATTTGTTGACCCATGGTTGAAGTTCTTCACCTCAGTTCCATAGAACGAAGTTCTCATTCACTTGTAGAGTCTCTGCTAAAAATATTTTAGAGTTACAATTGTGTGCTTTACAAATGGTTACTCTCTCATTTTCTTTTAGTGTAAGAATTTAACTACCCATTACACAGTCTAATTATTCTACAGTAACACAACTTGAACAGTCAAAGCACAACATTTAGAAGAGACTGGAATGTGGCATTAACAGCTTACAAAAAAGTACTATTTTGATTACAGCAATACTTATATTAAAGTGAGGTAAATTTTCATGCAGGTTCTTCAGCAGCTCAAACACACATACAGATATGTAAATCTAGTGGAATGGAAAATAAAATTTTAAGATTACAGTGATAATTTGTGACAATTTTTGTTTGTCCTAAATATTTGTGCATGTGAAAGTCAGAATGTCTGTAAATAAGCATATCAATGTTTATACACAGACATTAAATCAGGAATTAGCTTTCTTACATCAGACTGACACTGGCAGACTAAAATAACTCTTACAGCATTCTTAAACTGGTAAGCCAATGAATGGCATCAGTATAAATCAATTTAGAAACCTATCTGCACAAACCACTCAAATTCAGGATGTATTACAGAACTGACTTGCTCAAACCTCTCCAACTTAGCTTATTTTAACCTTCCCTTACACTCGTATCTTCTTCCCCAAGAAATCTGCATAAGGATCTACTGTATGTCTTCTGATTCTGAGTCTTTATCCATATTTTCCCCTTGAGCCCTCTCATTTGGCACTTCTTCAAAATTCCTCCTGGCTCTTTGTCTCAAAATGGCAGAGGCATGCAAATGAATTCTGTTTGGACAGAGTTCATAGTTTGTAATGCAAACCAAACCAGTACTTTCACACCATTTTAAGACTTATACGGACAGAGGTCTGCAATAGCAAGCCAATTACAGAATATCAGCCTTAACTTAAACAGTATCTGAGTATCTGACATTAGGTATCTTACAAACACTTTATGAGAGAGACATTACAGAAAAACAGATCTTCATCCTGCATGTACAACTATATAGCTGCATTTGGGCATCAAACTGCCCAGCAACCCGGTCTACAGCTATGAAGATCTTGCCCCGGTGTAAGAAAAACAGAGCACACATGGAGTGAGTTTTTATCAGAACATTCTACAAACTGTTCTGGTATTTTACACAAAAGAATAAACTTCCAATTTAGTTTGGAATTTTGACCAAATTCTGATCTCAGATACCTGTGTTCCCACTCAAGTGACACTTCTCCTTCCGAACAGCCCTCCAATAACCTCCTCTCCCCTATCTGGGCCTTGTGTTTGCTGAGCATACACCCAAAAGATACACTTGACTCACAGCCTCTCCGTAGCATAACCTTTGATGCTTCGAACACAGTTCATTCCTTATCTTCTGGTTTCTGTGGCTAAAAAGCCACCTTCCTGTGGAAGCGAAGTGCCGTGTGTGAGCCTACTGAACTAGTGAGATCCTACCACAGAAAAGTGTGGACAAAAATACCTGCGCAAAGATGCTTACAAAGTGTTTCCTTTGGTGCAGTCCTCAAGATCGGCAATACCCACAGCTACACACAGATAAACCGGATGCGCTATCAGGCCTCTCCGAAAGCAGGGAAGGAGGATAGGGGCGCTGCCGACCGCCCCCAACGCCTAGGGCACTGCACTGCCTTCGCGTCAGTTTAACCGCATCCAAAGGCCGCGCTCGAGACGGGCCGCACGCGCAAGCCCGCCTGCGTCACGCCCGCAGCCGGCACCCCCAACCATTTCCTACGGTAACCCCTAACCGACCCTTCGCGCCCCGACGGACGCGGCAGCGAGGCCCGGCTGAGGCGGGCGGCCGGGCTTTGCTCAGGACAAAAAGCACCCAGCGGCTTCGCCCCGCCCGAGCCTCGCGCTTGCCCCAAGGCTCCGTGGCTGCGGACGAAGAGGGCCCAGCCCGCAAACCTCACCCCAGCGCCGCGGCATCCCGCTCGCCGCCGCCGCCGCCCCACCGCGACCCGGCCGTCGGCTCCGAGCGCAGGCGCAAAGGGACAGCAGCGGCCGCGACTGCTGCTGCTGGCGCGGGTCGGTGACGCCAGCGCGCGGCTCGCGCAGTTGCCGGGACATAGCGGGCGCCGCCGTGGGGGCGAGGGCCCAAGAGGGACTCCCCTTCCCCCCCCCCCCCCCGCGCAGGCCGCTTCCTCCGGAGGGATCCCCGGCAGCTGTAGGCGGGGGAGAGGAGAAGAGATGAGGAGGGAGGAGAGAGAAGAGAAGGAGAGGGAAAGAAAAAAGGGAAAGGGAAAGAAAGGAAAGGAAAGGGAAAGGGAAAGGGAAAAGAAAGGGAAGAGGAAAAGGAGAGGTGAGGCGGTATTGGCGGGGCCGTGCCAGCCTTCCTCGGCGCGACCCGGGCTGGAAGAGCATTATACACATGGGAGTCGGCCGTCGCGCTGTGTTTGGGCGGAGCAGAGCCCGCCCGAGCATGCTTTCCGTTGTGCAGTAAGGATGTTGTGCAGAGCTGTTTAGTTGTATAATTGCTTGAATAATCAACACGGGGTAACTTAACTGCAAACGGGCCATACTGTGTCCTCGGAAGGTTGCTTTGCACTGCTGGGCAGCTCAGCTTTCCCAGCTTCTGAAGGGACGTAAGACTGCCTGTGCTATCCACTCTTTTCTATGAGCTCTAATAAATAGCAGCGTAAATGATACTTCTTGGGGTCTGAGTGCCTACCGTGCTGGGATCACCACAGGCCAGCAACTGCTCCTACTGTAACTACTACCACTCCCTGCTGTAATAGGTGAGGAAGAGAGCACCCATCAACGTGAAGGATGTGAGAGCTAGATGTGTGAGGCAAAGGTCAGTGGTCACTGACCTTTTGGCAAAATAAGGCAACACACATAAATTATAATAATCTGTTTTAAGAACAGAAATCCTAGAACATCCTCTAGGTCAGCAGTATCCTGATGCTTGAGGGTTTAAGTCTAGAGGTTTGTTGTTTTGATTTTCATTATTTTTTTAATTTAAAGAGGAGAAAAGGAGTAGTACTTCCCCTTCCTGCCCGCATCTGTTTACACACAGACAAATGCACTTCCCATGACAAAGGCAACCCTGTATTCCAGACAGGGACTGGGTTGGACTGGGAACCAATCTGTATTTCCTGCAGGCCAACCAGCCCTTTCGCCTAAGGTCAGCAAACATCTGTAACCTCAGTGTGGGAATCTGGGTAGTGTTACTGTCAAATGACTAATGCAAACTGTGATCTCCTCCTAGGGGAATGAATTATTTGTCCAAGACACTTAAGCACAGTGCCATTTCTGAGACATCAGTGAACTTCATAGCTGTTGAGAACGTCTTGTATAAAAAGCACGACACTTGACAGAAGTCAGAGACTTAAGAGAAATCCTTCATAAATTTTCTGCTACTACTGGTTAATGGTTTGGGGGTTTTGTCACTTTCTGTCTAGGACTTAAATAAACATTTCCTGTTTGCTTTGTAGTGGTACATCTCTTGCAATTCTATTAAATGCTAAGCAAGAACATTTTGTACTCTAACGCGAATGTGACTGAGTAGTACTGATTATATACAGAGAATATCAAATGCAATACTGGTTGATTAGTCCTTACAGATGCCTTTTACTACTTACAGAACAGTGTAACAGGTTACTTTTAGCCTTTGTAGTGTTGGCATAAATTGTGTATTAGAAAGGAGGGGGAGATCAAACTGTGTGTATTGGCCAGGTGTCAGTGTGAAGCCTGGGACGAAAGCTAGCTGAGTTTTTAAGGTACGTGATAAAACAAGACATTTACAGGTTAAGGTAATTCCTATTATATTAGGTAACATACATAGATCTTTTTAGAAAGCAGGTACTATGGGGGGGGGGGGGGGGAGGGAAATACCTTATTTAGATCTAAAATAGAAGCAACAAACTTCCAGCTGGAGTGGAACGAGAGAAAAATTTTCTGAATTTCTTTAGGCATGAATAGACAATCTATGAGAAAAGGAAGTTCATACCTTCTGGATTCTACCTGGATCAGGGGTAATACTAGCAGTATCAATCAAGGGAAGTGATAGATAATTTTCTCTTGGTGGAGAGGGAAAGAATAAATAGGTAATGCCTAATATCTAAAACATAGAAAAGCGAGTCAGAAGGGAAATTGTCACAAAAATTACCTGGAATCCAGTAGTGCTGCCTGTGTCCTTAAGCCCATTTGTTTAAGGACACCATCATATCAAGTGTTGGCTGTGGCCCTTCCTGGTGGCCTTATTCCTGCTGTCTACTTTCACTGCCCATAAGGCACACAGCACTTTCACTCAGGTTGCCGAGAGAGATACATGACATTACTGCAGTATTTTGCAAGGAGAGGCATTACTTAACTGTGTGGGAAGGCTATATCTAGTGCTTTCCTCTGTCGCACATTGTCCTGCTGAAATTCTGTTGATGGACATCTGAAATTAGCATCTCTTAGACCTGTACTGACTCAGTCCTTCTGTAGTGTTATGGCTTTAATGGCAGGGGTAGACTGTGTATCAACACAGGCCAGAGTCTTGGAGCCATGAAATATTTCTGAGCTATCAAAAAAAGAAAAAAAAAGAAAAAAAGAAAGCTCTGCTATTAGCAATACAGTATAACTCACTATCTAGTAGCTAGTGGAATATATAACCACCGGCCAATTTCTAAATTTCTCTGAATAAAAACTAGTTCATAACCCAGTATCCTGCACTATAGAAAACACAATATAGGTGAGCAGTTCTGTTACTATTTTATTTAAGACTATGTTTTTCAGGCTGCTGGATCTAAAAAGAAACTTTCTTTCCCATAATAACCTTCTTCACATACAGAAATAAATTATCCAAACCATTTATTAAAAAAAAATTGAAAAATTACTAGTATTGTTCTTTTATAACAACTAATTATTTCTGTAACATTAAGGTTATCTGAGCTCTTTTTATTGTGAGACAGTTTTAATAAGAATAAACTTTTCAGACAAATGTATCTACTGTACTTTATTTTTTTATGAAGTACTGTAAATGTCCCATACCACCAGAGATCTTTATTGTGAAAGCCCCACTTAAATCTACATAAAAGATCTTAAATATAACTGTTGAGTTACAGTTAAGGTTCCCCCCCATCAAATATCTGATGCAGAAGAATGATACAGGTTTTAATAAATAAAACATTGAATTATGATGTGATGAAGATACCCAAGAAAGTTATACAGTGCTCTATAGACATTGGCATCTTTGTATCCTTCCTTGGGTATTTGCATGACAGTCGGTGGGTTGTTTGATATTTTTACTCACTTGTAAACAGACTTATTTCTTCTATTTGTAAACAGACTTTTTAAAAAAGATAAGCAGCTACTTAATGGAAATAAGATAATCAACATTAAGTTAGCAGAGATCTTCCAGCCAGACAAAAATAACGCTTTTCATTACATGTTGAACTGAATTCTGTGCAAATAGTTAACACACTGCATGTCAGTAATATCACATTCCTAACTACTTCTTTATTAAAGATGAAAAATGAGCTGCATCATGGATATTTTATTTCAAGTAAATAATATTCCATATTCTTCTGCAACAGTATTTATAGATAAAGATGTAATTATAAAAAAAACCCTAGGTTTTCATATGTTAACATAGAGAAAATATTCATGAGTATTTACAATCACCCATGTTGAAAAGCACTGTGAAGTTCAGTGCACTTCGTTTTGTGTTTCTGTCAAGCAGTGTACATTCTTCCACTTAAACTTCTGCTTCTAGACATTGTACTGTGGCCTCAGGCTTGGTTTTAGACTCTTCTGTACTTTTACCATTCTTCGTTTCCTTCTCAGCAGCTTTGTCATTTGACTTAGCCTCTTTAAGAGCAGTTGTTTCAACTGTTTCTTTTTGCTGATTCTTGTTTGAAAATGGGAAGGTTTTCTTGTACCTTTGAGTAGAAAAAAAGGATAATAAAGCAGAAACACTTGCATAGTTTGATAGTATCACTCAAGAAATAAAGTGAAAAATACCTAGAATGAACTTCCTTTGCCATACTGAAGCAAAAGTCCCACAGAAAATAGTGGGATGCTAGATCATTGTGCTTTCTCAAGCAGCGTGCTTTTAAAGCAATATTTTTGTATTTTTTTAAAAAACAGACGATGTATATTCAGGATTCATGGTACGTAACAATAAAGCTATCTGCGCTGGGATGTGAGAAATGCACACAGCTTTCTGATACGATTTAGTGATGCACTGTGTTGAAAATCTTTCCACTTGATAAATGAGCTCTATTTTTTTTACTGGACACAATCATAGTCCAAGAATAAAAACTTCTACCTCAAGTCGGACATAGAAAGAAACAAGAAGAAAACTGCATAAACAGACCTGTATACAAACAGATGGACACTTCAGTGTTACTATTTGGCACACTTGGAAATGTTTCACGCTAGGTATGATTTACTAATCAAAAATAGGCAATATTTGTCTTTGGTTCCTTTGCTAAGGCAGGGAATGGCAACAGCAACAATAAACT